ATATTAGAAGTTGAAATTTTCGATATTTGGGGTGTTGATTACATGGGACCTTTTCCTTCTTCACGAGGGAATCGATATATACTTGGCGTTGTTGATTATGTATCCAAGTGGGTTGAAGCCATTGCCACACCTACCAATGATGCCAAGGTGGTCCATAGGCTTTTTAAGAAAACCATCTTTCCCATATTTGGAGTACCTAGAGCGATAATTAGTGATGGAGGATATCACTTTCATGAGCGAAAGTTAGATACCCTTCTGAAGAAGTATGGTGTATACCATAGGACAGGTTTAGCCTACCATCCCCAAACTAGTGGCCAAATTGAAGTTTCTTACCGTGATATCAAGGCCATTCTAGAGAAGATGGTAGCAAAATCTAGGAAAGATTGGAGTGCTAAGTTGGATGACACTCTTTGGGCATATAGAACCACATTTAAGACCCTAATTGGTGCTACTCCCTTTAGGCTTGTGTATGGTAAGCATGTCACCTCCTGGTGGAGTTTGAATACAAGGCATATTGGGCTATTAAAGAGCTTAATTTAGATGCTAAGCTAGCAACAGAAAAGAGGCTCCTACAACTTAATTAGTTAGATGAGTTTAGGTTGATGGCCTATGATAGTGCACGTGTCTACAAGGAGAAGGCTAAGAGATGGAATTACAAGATGATCCTTCCAAGAGAGTTCAAAGAAGGTGATAAGGCTTTGTTATTCAACTCTAGACTTAAACTTTTTCTAAGAAAGTTGAGGTCAAGGTGGTCGGGCCCTTTTACAGTAAAAAGGGCAAATAAGTTCGGTTTTGTGGAATTATACGATAATCATGGTAGTGTATACAAGGTAAATGGTCAAAGACTCAAGCTATACCACAAGAGGGCTACGATTGGTCTAGTTGAAATACTTCACCTAATCGATTTTCTCCATCTTGATAAACATATGGTAAAAAGTTGTGCGAGACTTATCGATTTTCTCCCATCTTAATAAACATTTGGTAAGAAGGTTGTGCGGGACTTAGATCAACCAGCGCTTTGCGGGAGGCAGCCCGTATTTATCCCTTTTTAGTTTAGTTTTATTTCTTTCTTTTTCTTGTGAGAGGAGGAGTGGAGGGAATTTAATAAGTTTCAGAGTTTTTGAACATGTTTGGAGAAAAAGAGTTAGCCAAATTTGGAGTAAAGAAGAAAAAAAAATCGGAACCTCTTTGTTGTAGCGAGCCCGACCGGGCGCGAGAGGAAGCCAAGAAAAAATAATTCTCACCCGACCAGGTGAATCACCGCCCGACCAGGCGCGAGAAGAAGGTAAAAATTTCAAGTGATTTCACCTGACCGGACGAAGGCACGCCCGACCGGGCGCGAGAGTTAACGAGTACGGACCACTTTGTTCACCCGATCGTGATAGGTGAAAATTTTCAAGGATTGGCTCACCCAAACAGACGCGAGAGTGGCAACATATTCAAAGTTAGATCGTCCGACCGAGCAAGCAGCCGTCGACCGGGCGCGACATCAGCCGCCGCTTTTCTCCTTCTTTTTTCTCTCTAAAAACTCAAAAATCTCTACCTTCTCTCTAAGATGTCCTCTCCATTTCTCACCCAAATCAAAAGTTTTTTACATATTCCTTCTCTTCTCTTCATCTTCTACAATTGTATACCAATTTTGTACACTTTTGAACAAGTTTTTTTCAAACCCATTCCCTAAAATGGCATCTAAGAGGTCAAGAACTCAAGGGGGGTGTGGTCCAAGTTCAAGCCAAGCTTATGATCCAGAATTACAACTCGAGGAGTTGCCGAAAATGTGAAATACAACACAAACTCAACGGGAACGGCTCATCAAGCTCTATGAGTGCGAGGTAATTCCTTCTCAGTGGCTACACCGATCCTCTCTTGAATCACTACGATTATATGATCATGTTAGAAGATTCATGAATGATATAGGAATGGGAAAATTTTTTGATATGCATTATCCTACTTATCGTGAACTAACATGTGAATTCTTGTCATCTTTGAATGTTGTAAATACTAAAAATGGCCTTAATTTGCAATTTAGGTTGAATAATAGAAATATTAGTTTAACTTATATTGAATTTTGCAAATTGTTTTGATTGGAATCGGAATACCACCCCAAAGCGCCCAACATGCTAGTGCCCGACCTATTCACGATCCCGTCCCTAAAATCTGGCAAATGTTTGCGGGCACTTGGTTTTTAGGTAGGTATGAACCGCATAACGCTCAAACCAATGAACTAGCTATAATAGGTCAGTATGTGTTTGGTTTTGGTAAATTGAACATAGGTAGGTATATTATACACCATTTGAGTCGACATGCCACTGCTAGTACCACCACTAGGACCCCTATCCGATTAGGAGGCCTTACTGCTATGATAGTTGTTAAGAAGGTCGGGTTTAGTGAAACTAGGGATGAGGGTTTCACTAATTGTGAGGGGGATACTTATATGACCACTAGGTATTTAGAGAGTTTAGATTGGATACAATTAGATTGTCAACGAATCCCCTATTGGTGTGTGACCCATTGCGTATCTTTCCCCTACCTAGCTCCGAGTTGACCGCAATTTCCCCAAGGCAAGAGACATATACCTATGACCTTTTAGTGTCCCATGCCTAGGGGCGAGCAGCACCACCACCACCCCATGCGCCACAACCCGAGCATATGGAACCACCATCACCGATTAACATTCCACATCATGCACCTCCATGGCTCCACCACCCCCTATGCACGTTCTCGAGACCGCTTGGGACTTGCAGAGAATAGACTAGGCCATAGGCCATATTGAAGGGTCTTATGGGGAGCTTAGGCAGATGGTTGTTTCATAGACCAACAGTTAGGGTACATTGAGAGAAACCAGGGTAGAGCTTTATATCCTATGTTTGATGACTATGCTTGTCGGGGTGCTATTCCTGACGATGCTCTTTACCTCGATTGGTTTCAGGCACCACCTAAGGGATACGTTGATCCTCCCTTCCATGGCATTTACATATATTATTCCGCCTTTCGTGGTTATGGCCAAGACATTCCTTTTGGGGAGCCCCGAGGGGGGGGGGGACTTTTCACCATAACTATTTTGGTGGTAGTTCTTGTGGTGGTGCAGGTGGTAGTGGTGGAGGATTTGACCCGATGGATGAGGATTAGCCAGGCTGGGCTAATTCCCGAGCCAATGAGGACATTGTTTGATCTTGGCTTAGGGGAGATTTTTGGATATTGGTATCTTTCTTCTTTTTTTTTTTTTTTTGTATGTTTAGTGTAGTTTTTATTGCTTTTAGTATAGATTTTATTGCTTTGAAAAAAATTGGAAAATACAAAAAAAAAAAAAAAATATGATCCAATGAATGATAAATCATGCTTCCTTGGGCCCCATACATATGAAAATTGTTTTGATTCTTGGTATATGATGATGAGTATTGTGGATAGGCTAGCTATGATTTGATGTTTGATTTCTTGGATGCCTTAACATGAGTCAATCTGTCCAATTACTTGTGAATAAAGTGCTTCACTAGTGGAAAAAAACCTATTCGAAACGGGCAAAAACAGGCTTTCCGTAATGGGATGTGGGCGTTACAAATGTGGCCGTTACGAATAAAAATGTTATTTGTAACGGGCACTTGTCCGTTACAAATAAGTAGTTATTAGTAACAGGCAACACAAGTGCCCGTTACAAATAACTGATTATTCAATTCGTAACGGGAATTTCAAACGCCAATTACAAATTACCTCGTTATTCGTAATAGGAGGCATCCAAAATCCCGTTACAAATAACGGAGTTATTTATAAAGGGCATATGTTTTGCCCGTTATGAATAACTTGTTATTTGTAACGGGAATGAATCTTCCCGTTACAAATAGTGTGCTCCACATTTAAAAAAAAAAAAAGGAAATTTTGCCAAAAATAACACCACATTTGGGAGGTCTTCCCATAATAGCACCACCTTTTGATTATTCCAAAATAAAATCACCTTTCACATGTATTTGCCAAAAATGAAACAAAAAACCGATAACTTGTTTTTCAGGTAACCTTGGGACACGTGTTCTAATTTGATTGGTTAATTTATTTATTTTTATTTTTAATTTTGAAAAAACTTAACCCCCCTTTCCATTTTCCCGACCCCTTTGCCCACCCCCTTTCACCGGCATCCACCACCCCCACCTAGACCAATCACCTGAAACCAAAAAAAATTAAAACCCCCCTTTCACTGAGAACCACCACCTTGATTTCGGGCTCCTCCCTTTCTCGTTCCTTATTTCAGCTCCCACCTCTCCTCCCCGTACCAAAATCAATCCCCCCTCCCTTCATCGTCCCCAATTTCGAGCCTTTTCCCTTTACACAACCAACATTTTCGACTGGTTCTGGTTTCGGGGGAAGGAGATAGGTGGTAGGGCCGGAAGTTAGGAAGGGAAAGGGAGGGGGTATCGAAAATGGAGAAGAATGGGTAGGGACATCAAAAATGGGGATGGGAAGGGGGCACCAGAAATGGATAAGGGATGGGGGAATGGGTGGAGGGGTGTTCAGGGCGGGGGAATGGGTGGTGGGTTGTTTAGGGCGGGGGAATGGGTGGAGGAGTGTCGTTTAGGGGAGGGGTAAGGCGGGGAGGTTGATCGACGGGCGAGGATGGGGAGGAGGAGGGGCGGCGGCGAGGGGTGGGTACGGGGTGGGGGCTGGGCAGGGAGGGCTGGCAGGGGGGGCTAGCCGGCTAGGTGGTAGGTTCTTTTTTTTTTTTTTTTTAAATTTAAACTTTGTTTTTTAATTACTTAGGTTTTTAAAAAAAAAATTAAATAAATAAAATTGACTAATGACATTGTGACACGTGCACAAGTAACTTGTTTTATAGGTTACCAACCGGTTTTGTTTCATTTTTGGCAAATACATGTGAAAGGTGGTGTTATTTAAGAATAATCAAAAGGTGGTGCTATTATGGTAAGACCGCCCAAAGGTGGTGTTATTTTTGACAAATTTTCCAAAAAAAAAAACCAGCACATATATGTTGGATAGGTTTGCTTGCACAATCATTTTATCAATTAATGAGATAAATTATGTTTTATAAAAGTATGGTATAGTAGAAAATCTCATATACAATCATTAAAGTTCATTATCACCGAATAATTAAAACTAAAAAAATTCTCGTGCTAAAAAAATACGCCTGTGGCTAATTTTATACAATCATCAAAGTTCATGGGTATAGCTCAGTCTTCATCTTCCTTGTCACCATCACCACCGACAGCCTTCTTTGCTACTGCCTTCTAGTTCTTTCGCTTTACTCTACCTGGACGGCCTCCTTTGAAGGGACTAGTGAGAAAGAAGTCGATGTGCTTCTGTGAGTCAACCCTCACCATGAAAGATGGAACATTCACCACTTGTCTCCCAACCCTAAAATCAAAAGATCACATGCGATCAGAAACTAGCTTTATCAAGCCAAAAACAATCTCAATGACAGTATATATAACAAAGATTCAAATCAAAAGACTATTGCACATCACCGAAGAGATAAGGTAGGGAACAAGGGATCCTCTTCCACAAAATCAGTCAACTGTTAAAATCTTCAATAAAAGAGGCAACAATGTAGGTTATTTATTACATAAAAGGCACTTGGAGAAAATACATGCACAATGAGCGGGTATATTGTTATAGAGTAGACAACAAGTTAGACACCCTAGATTGGCTAGATGTTGGCTCACACTAGAATTAGTCGAGAAATGGATGGGTTAAAAAAAAACTAAATCATTGGAAGTCATTGAGTGAGAATCTAGTATAACATGATTGATATAGTCAGCTATGTCAAAACATATCCAACACTAAACACCATCAATACTAAGCAATTGAAAACATCAAGCAATGCACATCAGAAAGCAATCAATAATTGCAATTAAAACGTAACAAGGGATTCAAATATGATACCTAATATGCCTCTGCCTGATGAGCACCCTAGCATGGTGAATAGACTTGGCCATACCAGATTGGAAGATGAGGGTCTGAAGACACCTCTCCAAGAAGTTCTCAACGGTAATAGCCAACACGTTATCGGGCTTGTTCTGTCCTTCATCCAATAGCCCACACTTGTTCATCCTCCTCAAAAGAGCTTCTCCCTCAAAGATATGATGAGGGTTCTTCTCATCCAGAGTAAGAAGATGCCTTGCAGCATTACGGATAAAGTTAAAACATATTGAACCCTCTAGAGCTCTCTCTTGCTATGAAGCACATATTCAGCATCCAATCATTCCTCGTAAGGACGATGTGGCTTATTAAAAGTCTTCCCATCTATACACCATCCATTTCACAAAATCATCACTAATAATTCAACCATATACTAAATTCCTCCCTATAATCTCAAACTTAGCATGAATTTTAAAAATTAAACAAAACCCACTACTTTTTTTAAGCTAATTAGAAGAACAAACCAACAGAAGCTACCGATTTGCAACATTTCATGTATATAAACATATCATTACCCTAACATGATAAACCATAAAATTCCAAATCAATGTACAAACTTTACAATAAAAACAACGATTCGAAACACAAAATCACAAGCCCTAAAAATTCAGTTTATCAATCAATCAATTAAAAATTTTGTAGCTGATTTCAACTATTTAAATTAATTAACCTAGTAAAAATAGAGATAATGCATAACAAATAGATCGAAATTAATCAAATAAAAAAACTAATCAAATAAAAAAACAACCCAAGTGATTTTAAATGTTTAAATTAACTAATCTGAGAAAAACTGAGAGAATGCAAAGCAGATTGATAAAAAAAATCAGATAAAATGGAAAAAGCAAACAAAAAAAGAATAAAAAAAAGGGAAAAGGGAGATGAGAGATGAGAGATGAGAGGAGAAATTATAGTTACATAGACGATGTGGACCATGGCAGCTCGCCAGCGGCAAGCAGAAGGTAAGTGGTGAAGAAACGAGTGGAGGCTCCAAACGCAGAAATGGAGGAGAAAAACTAATAACAAACCAGTGAATCAAATCAAATCAGAAAGCCAAAAAAGTGGAAAATCACCAAGAACATTTGGGTACGATTAGCCTTAATGATGAACTCAGTACGCATCATGTCCTTCATCGGAATCGTAAGCGAATTGCTGAACGTACAACGGTGATTTGGCTTTAAAAGTTTAGGGTTAGAATAAGGTATAAATAGGCTGTGAAATTGGAGGCTGAAAATGAAGAGAGGTTCAATAATGGAGGGAGCAGAACGAAAATGGAGGTAAGGAGAGGTGGAAGAGAGGGTGAAGTAAGAGATAATCTCCATTGAAGGAAGTAGATCTCTAAGGAGAGAGAAAAAGAGGGGAGAGCAAGAGGAGAGAGATATGAGTGACGGATGCTGAAAAATAAAGTTAGAATTTTAGGGTTATTTAACATGTAACTCATTTGTATCGGGCAGTTATGTGCCTTTTACAAACAACAAGTTATTTGTATCGGGCAAAATGCTGCTCGTTTCAAATAATGCAATATTTGTAACGAGCATCATTTTTCCCGTTATGAATACTATTTTTTCGTAACGAAACATTATTTAACCCGTTACATATAGGTTTATTGTAACGGGTAAATTACTGTCCGTTACAAATAAGGTGTTACAAATGGCATTTTTTCCACTAGTGCTTGAGTAGTTGATTTGGTTAGGAATTGTGTGTTAGTTCCTGGTATATTATTGAATTTGAGTATTGGTTTGCAACTTTGAGTAATGTTTGTATGACTCATTATTATGCACATTGAGGAGGACGAAGGCATTTGTTCTTTTAGGTAGCCTTAAGAATAATTTAGGCACATTGAGGAGGACGAAGGCATTTCCCTTCTTGCTACCCATGTTGTTGCCTTGACTTTTTGTTGTTTATTAGCCACATTACAAGCATATTTTGCCCCATTGGTTACTAGTCCCAAGCTTGGCTTGGGGGAGATATTAGTGAGTGAGGTGAGGAGTTTGTAGTGTGCTTATTATTTGCACAATTTGGGTGGTTATGAGAAGTTGTTTTGTTCTTGTAGGCGTCGCTCGAAGTGCGCCTACGTTAAAAGCATGTGGTGAATATGCTTGGCACTCTTAGGAAGTGGGAATTGACATATACGATTAGGGACAACGATTAGGGACAAGGAAAGTAGGGAGCCGCCAACAAGTTTTTAAGGAACTTGTAAACCATTCACGGATCATAAAAGGCAACCACGATAAAGGGACAACGAAGGCAACAACAATTGACCCGTGAAGGTTACACCCCATTCATAATCCATGAGATTACTAACTCCATATGGTTCGGAACCACGAAAGGAGGATCGGGGATGATGGTACGAAGTGAGTCATGGAGTCACATTCGCCTGTATTGGCCTCTACTCGATTCTTATAGTGAAAAGTGATTCCTGCGATCTCAAAGGCATACAAACAAAAATTCAATTTGCTCCAAACTATTATTATGCTAAATTGGTTGAATATTAATGCAACACATAATTCTAAAATATTGTGATCACTTGATTTAATAACAAGATTAAAAAGGAACCTAAGCCGGTTGTCCAAATTATCTTATTAGGCGTGATTTTCAATTACATATTCCCTTTAACATGCAATATGGTGATCATAAAAAATATAATAGAATAAACATTAATATTGGAAGCAATTTAACAATAAATTGTTAGTCAAATCAAATAATAATAATAACCCTAATCATGATACTAGCAATAAGAATAAAAATAAGAGTAATTAAGTGATTAATTTAATTACTCACATTCCGCGTTTCCTTGAATTGCTACATCATGAATAAACTGTTAGTAACTTCAATAAAAATATAAATCAAATAGAAATTAAATTAAATTAAAAGTAGAGTTGATTTGGTCCAAACCCTCAGATATTTATACCTTTCACGCCTTGGTTACAGTATAGAACTTTGGGTATTGTATGAACTCCTTGGAGTGCTTAAGGAAGAAATGATAGAATTAGAAATATAGGTTTAAGGCTTAGAATATGGGAGAGAGAGAAGAGAATGATTTTTGGTGTAAAAGAGAGAAAGAGAGAAGGATTTGATGATCAAGCTTGTTGATGAATCAAAAAGGGGAGATATGACCTCTATTTATAAGGGGAAAAGAGGGGTCGAATCAAGAAAAGATAAGAATTCGAATCGGATAAAACTCTTGCGATAGACAGCAGTTTTTTTGGTTTTTGTTTTTATCATATCTTTTGAACCAGAAATTGGAATAAGATGAATACGATATGGTTGGAAATCTCTTAAAGTCTACTTTTTAACCCAATTAAAATAAGATTAAAATATTTTGTAGAACAAAAGATATATCCGAAATAGTGAGACGATGTCAGTTTTGGATAGAGTTTGACATTTTATTCATATATTTTCCGTTATAGCTCGGAATTGATATTATAATATATAATTGGAAAGATAATTTCAAGGGCTATCCAACCATATAAAATTTTGATAAAAACTATGAGGCACGAAAATAATATCTGTCTATCTTTGAACGTCTTTCAATTCGGATATAAATAGGATTTTCAAAAAGAAAAGTTTTATTCAATTTCAAACTCTTTAATCTTATCTTTTCAAAAAGGATAATTAAGATCTTTTAGAAACTTATAGAGGCTTCTAATTAATCCTAATTATTTTAAGAATTGGATTAAATAATTTGGACCCTCTACATGATCATTGGGTCGTAGGTAAGGTGGGTTTAGGTTCGATTTGGGCTCAGTTTAATATTTTGGCCATAACTTATTCGTTATAACTCGGATTTGGGATTGTAATATATCGTTGGAAAGCTCTTTTAAAGCCCCATCCAAATATTAAATCATTAGACCCAGATTATGGACCAAAATAAACTGGAATAAACGTTTTTATAAAAAGGACACGAAATGATTGATTTTAAAGGACACGAAATGATTGATTTTAAAGGACACGAAATGAATTATTTTGGGTTTAAAGACACGAAAAGAGGAAAATATGTTATGGTTTGGGGAAATGGCTAGGAATTGGGTTGGTTTATGAAATGGAAATATGGATTTAAGCACTCCAAAAATTAAATACTTAACCCGACCAATAATGGTGGTGAAAGGTTGTTCATCATCGGGTTTGGTTTTGGGGAGACATTTTTAGGTGTCTACAGAAGCCCCCACTTTGACTGAATTTGTAGAAACGTTAGTTTCGAAAACAATAGTCAAAGTAGTCGATAGGGACGGAGAATGATTTAAGACGTTCTGCGATCCTAAATCATTCTGTATACGCCGATACCTGCAGAAAAATGTTAGTTATACAGATAAAAGAGTAAAGGGATAGAATGCGTATCTGACACCAGTGTATCGGTGACAAATGAGTTTGGTAGCTTCCTATGCTTGAAGGAATCCACCGGATGACGTATGTTGAAATGCTTTCCATGCTTGAGGAAAGCCGACATATGAGTTTGGTAGCTTTCTAAGCCTGAAGAAACCTACCGGATGACACTTTCCATGCTTGAGGAAAGTCGACGTATGAATTTGGTGTCATTCTATGCTTAAAGAATTCCACCGATAATGCCTTCCATGCTTGAGGAAAGCCGACTACTTGGCGGTTTTCTATACTTGAAGAAAAATCCACCGATAACGCTTTCCATGCTTGAGGAAAGCCGACTTGGCGGTTTTCTATACTTGAAGAAAAATCCACCGATAACGCTTTCCATGCTTGAGGAAAGCCGACTTGGCGATTTTCTATGCTTGAAGAAATCCACCGAATAATACTTTCCATGCTTAAGGAAAGTCGACAGATGATGAGATTGCAAGTCTCTATGTATCGAGAACCTTGCGCCGTGAAATGATGGTGGTTAGATTGTCCCCGAACGTGGGCTGTAGATGGTCATATTGTCCCCGAACGTGGGCTGTAGATGGTCCCCTTGTCCCCGGACGTAGGCTGTAGTTGGTTCGCTTGTCCCCGAACGTGGGTTGTAAATGGTTCGCTTGTCTCCGAACGTGGGCTATAGATGGTCCGCTTGTCCCCGGACGTGGGCTGTAGATGGTCCGCTTGTCCCGGGACGTGGGCTGTAGATGGTCCGCTTATCCCCGGACGTGGGCTGTACATGGTCCGCTTGTCCCCGGACGTGGGTTGTAGTTGTTTCGCTTGTCCCCGAACGTGGGCTGTAGATGAGACCTACAAAAATAAATTTGCCAATGGACTCGTATATATTGTGATTGACTTGACCACTGACTTGACCAAGTTTGACTTGATGTGACATGACATGACATGTGTATGACTTGTGAGTGTGTGTGTGTGTGTATGTGTGTGCAGACACAAGCAAATTAAACAAAGATGCAAAAGCAAAAAAATTTCGTCAATTTTTGTCATGAGACGAGTGGAGGGTACCGATTTTCTCCTGAAAACGAAAGACGTGAAAAATGAAATTTTATATTCAAACTTCCCTCGATAAAAATTTTGAAATTTTTCTTAAACATCCCAAAAAGAAAACAATGAAAAAAAGGAAGAAGTTTTGAACTTCCTCCTTGAGCAAGACGAAATGAATCGTATGGATTGAATTGATTGTCTTGGAAATAATGTATGCATGATGCATGTTCTTAGTCCAGGAGGCTAAGGACAATTACATCATGTGACACGATAGATGAATGAACTTAGGTCATGGAGCTAAGAATCATATATGGCGTAAAGAAATGATCTTGAACGTCACTTAGGTCTGGAAGCTAAGCACGTATATAGATGAAGTGGTTGATGAGTATTTCATAATGAATGTTTCTTAGGTCAAGGATCTAAGCACGATATGCGATGCATGAAACAATGAATTTTTCTTAGGTCAGGAAGCTAAGCAAGTATACAATGTTTCTTCTAATGAATGTTGTCTTGAAAGATGATGAAGCATGCACAATGTTAAAACAAGATTTCATGAAAAAAGGTTCTTAAAGGGGAGGATGATTGATATGAATATGGATGTGTGAGTGAAGTGTGTGAATGTGATACTAAGGCTGGCTGCAAAGGCTATGGTGATGGAAATTTATGTGAGAAGAGTCAAAATGGTGACTCTTTAGGCTGGGTAGGCTAAATGATGTGGGTTTAAGCCCCCAAGTCTAGCTCTAAATGGGTATGGGTAAGCATTGATATTATTTGACTCGATCATGCATAGATATGAATATTGAATGTGGCTGCACCTCAATGTGAGGTTGCCTACGTATCCGTTAGGAATCAGGCCAACGTAGCTCTAACCAAACTTTGCACAAGTGTATGTACACCTCAAAGAGGTCTTTCAAGGGTTGTAATGTGGTTAAGTTGATGGTTTAAAGAAGAAAGAGGTAAAAGGCTCAAGACCCGAGAGAAGCCCCCAAGATGTGTAATTGTGAATTTGAAAATTTTGAATTTTGCAAGTTTATTTTCAACACATTTTTTTTTGCTTTG